AAGCTCCCAACCGCTCCTTTTTTTCTTTTTTTTTCTTTTTTATTCTGGGTCAGCTTTAGCTCTGAGGACTCGGCTGCTGAAAACAGGTTTCTGGCCTTTGTTTACCTTCTGTATTTGATACCATGTTGCAGTCCGGCTGGCTGAAGCTCCACTGAGTAAAGCAGGTTTCTGGGGTATTTTTAGCTTCTTTATTCGCAACATAGTTGCTTAGAGTTGCAGCTGAGAGGCAGGCAAGTCAGGCAGGGAACGTTGGAGTCCTCCATCACTGAAGCAAGCAAGCCTCATGTTAGTTTCAAGCTGCCTGGCTGCTGGCCACCATCTTGGCTGGCAGTCTATTTGCATATCGCCCTGATTAGCCAATGGGAAGGGTAGCGGTCGTACGCTACTTACCATGTTTCTCTTTTATTAGATAGGATAATATTAAAGATATCTTGCATCCTCTTCTCCCCAACTTAACCCATCTCCTTCCAGCCCCACCCACTCTTCCATGTCTTCCCTACCATATTGCCTATGTGCACAGGCTATGCATATAAATATATTAAGTTCTTTGGTTTCTTTCTTCTCGTCCCCCCAACACCACATGGAGTAATGGCAATCTGATCCATGCCTCTATGCTCTTATTTTGTTGATCAACTCATTTTATTCATTAAATTCCACAAATAAGTGAGATCATGTGATATTTGTTTTCCACAGATTGGCTCATTTCACTTAACATAATATTTTCCAGGTGCATCCATGCTGTGCCAAAGGGTAAGAGATCCCTCTTTTTTACAGCTGTATAGTATTCCCTAGTGTAAATGTACCATGGCTTTTAATCCATTCATCTATTGATGAGCATGTGGGCTGTTTTGAAATCTTAACTATTGTAAATAATGCTGCTATGAACATAGGGGTGCATATATTATTTCTGATCGGTGTTCTAGGGTTTTTAGGATACATTCCCAGAAGTTGGATCATTGGGTCAAATGGAAATTCCATTTTCTTATTTTCCTTCCCACCAGCAGTGA